TCATAGACCTTGACTTTAACACTCACTTTGATCAAATCCGCCTATATAATTATTGAATGAAAAAACGAATGTTTATCAAATATTCAATAATCATATAGGCGGGTTTGATCGAAGTAAGTGTTAAAGTCAAGGTCTATGAAACTTGCAAATCGAATTTGCAAAATGAACGTTTTATCAATTATTCAATAATTATATGAGCGGGTTTGGTCAAAGTAAGTGTTAAAGTCAAGATTTGCAAAGCTTGCAATCCAGCTTTGCAAAATGAATGTATAGACGTGATCCAAGCATTTTTAGTAATAAACAAATAATCAATTCAACTGTCAATTTAAATGCACTTTTAGTAATAACGATAAATTCAATTGTCAATTAATTAATTAAACGCATAATGCTTTTCTGAATCAATGGTACGATTCAAAAAACAGGACAAATGATAATAATAGTAAATAAAAACGGTATGACCTTCAACTAACTAAATATCAAACGAAAAAAGAAATTTTTATTCTTACCAAAAAGATATTATAATTATTGCACGATAAATTTTTATCACGTGGAAAAGAGGTATTTACATTAAAGAAAAAGAATCACGTAGATTAATGCATAACGGAATTTCTTTGAGTTTATTGGACAATCAATCGTTAATAATATAACTGTATAATGTGAACAGAATTAAAAAATTCAATAGTAATACATACAAGAGAGAATAATTTTTATTATCCCCATTACTATTTCGTTCTTATTCTACTTATTAATAATACTTGTTTTCGTTTAATAGATATGTAATTAATTTAATTATTTGGACACCATGTACAGTGTATTGCTAAAGATTTAATTTTAAATATAATTAATTGCCTCAAACGTAATTGGCACATTAAAAGCATAACATGTTGCATCTTACCTCTAAATAGTTTCATATTATACCAAAAAAAGTTAATTTTTAAAGTTCAATTCTTAAATTTTTCGTAAAAATTGAACTTGTAAATAATATTTTAATTCAACTTATCTGTAATATTATCAGGTTCCTTGTTTCTTTTATATACTGTTAAGTTTGCTGATTCCTTTTTAATGTTTAAATTCCCAACATGTTATTAAAATATGTACATATATTATTATTATATGTATTCTAAACCTCTTTATTATAAATTCATTCATAATACTGATATTGGAAAACGTTTGATCAGGGCATGAAGTATGATAAAGAGGCTTGAAATTTACGTGCCTATAAAAAAAAATCATATTTTTAAATCGGACGACTATTGTAAAATCATATAAATAATCGTGTAACAATTTTTGGAAATTTAGAAATTGCTATTTTTATAAAACAAAACATTTGCCAAGCACGGCTAGACGTAAAAAAAGACAATCGGCAAAAAACTGCACGACTCGCGATGTCAAATGTTCAATCTTTTTTAATTAATTGACAATTTAAAAATTAGATACTTTATTCATTAGTAATGAATTAACACTCATTCAAATAACCTTTAATACTGATTATATTAAGAAGTATCAAGATATCAAGATCATTACATTCTGCTTGAAGAATATGACAACGGATGTAGTAAATCATTATTATTAGAATAATAGTAATTATATCAGTTGTACATGAACCATTTCGACTTTTTGATAAAATATTAATAATTTTGGATAGTAGTAATAATAGTCGAAATACTTTTGGATAGTAATAATTGAAATGATTTTGTTGGTCAAAAATTGTTTCAAACCTTTGAAAAAGTTGTTGTGGATAATAAAATGATAATTAACATTAACAACCAAGCCAAAACGATAATTTAAATTAACATTAATATTAACAGTTAAGTCAATATGATACAGTCAACAACCCTCGTTTTAAAAAATCTATGGTAGTATTATGACCTGGATTGTTAATGGGTTAACGGGTCCTTTAACATTAACATTAATATTAAGAATATTCGATCTGTTGACTGTTTAATATTAATATTACAATTAAGGATTTTTCCCATCCGGATTTGTAATGGATTAATCCGTTAATACTAAAAACATTTATTAGAAGAACTTAAAAATAAAATATTTATTTATTTTAATTAATTTCAAATTGTAATTCATTTGATTTCTGGTCAATTACCAACTTCATTTAAGGCTGAACAAATTTTTACTAATCGTTTTGAAGTAAGTTCATGCCCAACTATGATTCTGTCTGTCCGTTTTTGTTTTTTTTTAATGGTAGTAATTGCTCATAAGAGCATGAGTGGAGTGGTAGGCATAATTTTATTATTTGAGAAACTAGCTTCGCCCCGATGCTTCTTTAGGGATAAAGTCGAAGTGTATAAACATTCAAACTGTTAAACAAACCTGAAATATGAAATGGAGTTCAAACCTATTCTGAATAGTTAATAAAACCTATCCAATTGCAAATGATCATAAAAACAATGATATATTTTTATCGCTTGTAAATGAAAACCAAGACAAGATCTTTTAGAAATTGAAAAAGAATTTCAAGGAAAAATATATTAATGAGACCGAATTAGGTAATGCAATAAAGAATGTAAATAATTTAACGTTATAAAAATATTCTAATGTATGTTATGATAGCTTACATTTACAAAGTCAATTTAAAAATTGGACTTCAGGAAATGAATAATTCCAAAAGCCTTCAGCTCTACCAAAACAAATTATGAAATGTATCCCATTTGACCAATTTAGAAAGTTGGATATTTAGCTAAAGGTTATTTGGTAGTATTTATATAAGGCAACACGGACAAGAAGGATTATGAAGAAAACAAGGAATAATTTTTTTATCATGTATCACATCATGTGGTATTGAAATGTTTAATCGACTCAAATGGCCTTGGAACACCAAATTTTAGATAAGGTCAATGTTTTAAAAATCAAATTATATTTTAATTATATTTACAACAAATAGTGACACGAGCTGGCTTAGAGTTGTTTGGCTTAGCCAGCCAAGGTTTTTCTCCCGGCTGACAAAAAAATTATTTAAATGTTTACGTTTATCATTAACATATTTAAATATTTAGTGCATTGTGGAAATATGTTAATGGAAGGATATGCTTGTTATATTACAGGTTTAGGATTATGTGGACTGGTTAATTATTTTTCAAATGAAATTTATGGAATTAGTTAGTATTAAAGAGTCAGATGTTTACTATTGGAATCTTGATGTGGGAAAATTGTTGATAAGGAAAAAAAGATCTAGAGTTAAATAGCTAATATATTGCCAGCGCCCTAAGGAAAGAAAGGATGACTTATGAAATTTACCAAGAGAAAGAAAAATAATTAAAATTAAGAAAAGAAAGCAGAATGAAAATATGCTTTAAATTTTTATTTTTATTAAAATATAAAATATTAACTATCAATAATTAAAAAATATATATAAATCAATTTGATACTTCTTTCGATGTTTCACACCCAGAATCGACCACATAAAAGCACCTAATTCTCCTTCTTTTCCTTGGGGATGCATTATCATCCATTCTGTGATTATTTACAACAGACCATTTAAGTAAAAGTATAAAAATCAACCAGCAAACAGAAATAACTAAAATACTTACATAATTATTATTATCACTATCATCAACATTATAATTACTCCCACTGTCTTCATCATCACTATCCTCCCTTTCTTCTTCATCTCCATCATATCCACTCTCACTCCCAGCCTCTGACTCATCATCTGATTCATCTTCTTTTGATCCTCTATCAACAACAAACTCTCAAGATTGCCCAACTCATCTTCTAAATCTGAGCACCTTTTTTCATTCTCTTCAAACACCTTATTCAATGTTTCTACATATATCTCTCCTATTACTCCTAGTGAATTTTCAAGGAAAAATAGAGTGACGACAAGTGGCGATAACCACCACCATTCTTATGATTTCTTTTTATAAAAAAAAATTTTTATTTGATCGACAAATGTGTCATTAATTATTTATTATTGGCACTTGGTGTTGCACAATTTTTTTTGTCACGAAATTTTTTTTATTTTTCAATGACAAAACGCGGTTCTCCTAAAGAAGATATGTTAATAACTAACCAGGTGAACTTTTTTTTTACTTGTATTGATATAATGTGGTGTCTTTTATTTTATATAAATATTTAATTGGAATCAAGACGCAGAGTAGATCATTGCTGGGCAATTATGAGATTCTTATCAAGATTGTGTATTTTTCATTTCGTAATCGTTAATATTACTATAATTTAATTACAAGAAGATGTCAAGGCAGAATATTGTTGAAAAAGAAACATTTCAAGTATGCAATCTTTGATTATCGGAAATTTTTAGAGATGTTGAAGCACGCACGCTACCTTGAGCACATTACAGTCAGTTCACACCTTCCTCATGTACAAAGGCTAATCTGACCTGATTGATCGATGATACAATGATGCAACAGAATTCCAAGGGTATTGCGTGGCTTTGGAATTTACCAAGACTGCATCGATCGTCATGGATGTTTTCACTAATCTTCCCAGACCAGAGATTGCCGCTGGCATGCTGGCCGGAAAGTTGCCTACTCTAGGGCAAGGATGGCACTGTGATCAAGTTGCAACTCTGGAGGAATATCAAGAGAATCTGCAACTCGTTCCAAGCACAGGAGGTCATAATTCAGAGCAGGGTTGGTGGCCCGTCATCATCACCATCAGGCTTTGCTTTAATAATTAATTCATCAACCTCCTCAAAGTCTTTAAACTCTTTTTTTTAAAAAAATGCCCTTAATTACTGCACTTTGTACACAATAACAGTGACTGTTTAATGTTATATGAGGTGAAAAAAACTCTGGTAAAATTCACTTTCATTGGTTTATCCATTTTGTAATTAACTGTCATTATGAGCTACAAAATAATTAATACTAGTTTTAATAATTTTTATTTTTAAAATCATCATTCGAAGAAAATAGTTGTATACCTCTTCTGGATTTGTATAAAAATTAAGTGTTAGTAGCTAACCTCATCATTAAATAGAATTCTTTAAAATAAATGTTAATATATTTTTTGACACATGTGTGTGTGTAAATACATGTTATATCTACTGACTTTTAATGGAATCCACATGATTCTAGCTTCAAAATACATTTTTATGGTTCAGTAGTTGTTGATACAAGTTAACATTGTTAATGATATTGATGTTATCATAAATAGTATTTCCTAGTTATAATTGGCTAATTTTTATGCAAATCTTCTAATTAAATATACGTACGTGCCAGGATTAAGTGATGTTAAAGATGCCATTTTTCAATTAAGTTATAGTAATATATCAGTAATTCAAATTATAATAAGTTTTTTATAATATAAAATTACTTATTGTTTATACAAAATCAATAATTTCTACATTAAACAGTTGATTGACCTTTCATTCATCAGAATAATGCCAAATCTTAAAAAAGAAAATCATCTTCTGCAACTTGTAAAATAAATTTCCCTGACAATTCTACCAATTGTAAAAGGTATCATTTAAATAAAAGGATTTATTAAATTCTATGCTTCCTTCTTCTACATCAGTTATTTTGCATAAGTTTCTAATATTGTTGTTCTAAATTATATAAAGCCAGTAGCCATTATGATTCTTATAGCAAATGAATTTAGAAAATGAATTTTTATGAAATAATAATATATTTTAGCATACTCTGAATAGATTAACCGATTATTGAATGATTATGAGAGAGCAAGTTCAATAGTACCTCTTTCAATTTTTATAATTGGAGCCTTTAAAAAAATTTATCATTGATATGTGTGTAATGGATAATTCACACATAACATATGTATATATAGCATATTGAAATTCAAATCTCTGATTGCAAAAATTTTTTTTGAAATTTATTTATCTATTGAAAAACTGATTTTATTTTACATGAAAATATTAATTACATCTTAGAATATCATGTTTATATAATGTTTATAATGCTCTATTTATTATCAGAAAAATTTGATAGTTAAAGCAATGATAATTTTATATAAAAAAAAAAGAAAGGGTGATATAAAAATAACTATATATAATAATTAAATAATATTATAATAGATTAATTATTATAAATAAATGTCTATGAAACTCCCGCTAAAACCTTCTTGAGTTCTTGTTTTTGTTGATCAGTTAATTTGTTAGGGAATTTAACATCATATTTTATTAATAAATCGCCTTTTTTTGTTGGTTCTTTAGTTGGCATACCTTCATTTGCAAATCTTTGTTCTTGACCAGGTTTTATAACACTAATGTAATTAGATATTGCCAATGTTCTACCATCTAAAGTTTGTATGGTTTTCTTGAAGCCTGTAAGAGCTTCAAGTAAAGTTAATGTGATTTTTACTGATAAATCATCACCATTCCTTGTGAATATTGGATGAGGCTTTTCTTCCAAGATCACAACAATGTCTTGTGACCCACCAGTTGGTAATTCATCACCTGAATTTGGGAATCTGAATTTTGTACCAGCTTTCAAGCCAGGTCTCACATTGATTTCCAAAATTTTGTCAGTTGGTACTTGTTTACCAGTTGCACCATCAATTATCTTTCGAGTGACTTTAAGTTTTTTGATAATGCCTTTGTGTATTTCTTCAAGTGTTAATGAAATTGTATATTTAACTTCTGATGTTCCTGAACCATCACCATGCCCTCTACCAAAGAAATCACTCATATCTGCTGATCTTTTACCACCAAACCTTGTGCCTCCGCTGCCACCACCAAACCCAGGAAATGGAAATTCATCATCTCCACCAAAACTTTTAAAGAAATCATTAAATATGAAAGTAGGATCCGATGGTTTAAACCCGCCTGACCCTCCTGTATTAATTTAATAAATAAATATCAACAAGTTTGATTCTAAAACAAAATCTTTGTCATTGGAAGCAAAAAAAAAAAAATTTACCTGTTGAAGTGTATGTGAATGTTTTACCTCCTGGAAAACCACCTGGGAATGTGCCACTAAAACCACCACCACCATTTGATGATGGTGGTGGAGCACCACCTTTCAGACCTTCTTCACCATATATATCATAAATCTCCCTTTTTTGTTTATCACTTAATACTTCGTAAGCTTCACTTATCTCCTTGAACTTGATTTCTGCTTGCTCTTTATCATTTTGATGTCTGTCTGGATGCCATTTAAGTGCTATTTTGTGTTATTATTTATAAAGTAAATAAATGTGCATTTTGTTTGCCATTTTTGGAATCCATCAATAATACTTACCTAATTTTTTATAAGCTTTTTTAAGAGTTTCTTCATCGGCCTTCTTGTCAACTTCCAAAATTTTATAATAATCCTTCCCCATTTTTGTTTAAATATTAAATTTGGTTTAAATTATTTGAATTTAAAAAATGAAAATATGTTATTAACAAAAAAAGCAACAAAAAAATTTATTACCTTTTAAATAATTCTAGATTGACCTAGCAGTTTTCTCACGTAAAAATTTACTAGAACATTCCAAGATGGTGGTGTACAATGACGATATGATTTTCCATATATGTTTATTATTATTATTATTAGTAATATATAGACATCGATCATCAACAAAGAGACCGTTCTGGGAACACAAAATTTAACTCACGCAATTTGTTAATTGACCAATTAAAATCGCGAATTTGATAACGTAGAAATAAATATGGGTTTGATTCATTTTGTCAACAATCACTTCA